ACTGTGTAGACATGGCAGGGATGAGAGTGGATGATATTGAGTAGCGAAAGTATATACAGTGAGAAAAGAAAAGGGCTGAAGACAAAACACTAGGGAACACCATTATTTAGAGGGTGGACAGGAGAGAAAATATTAGGAGAAGCTCAAAAGGAATGGTCAGGGAGGTAAGAAGACAGTGTTGAGAATAACCCTGAGGAAATTACAAAAAGGGAACAGAGTCACCAACGTCAGAAGAGGCAAAAAAAAAAAAAAAACCTCCCAGGAGACACAGAGGAATAAAGGAAGAGCACACTTTTAAGTGAAATAATGGACCTGAATTTAAAACAGATCTGCTACCTAATAGCTGGGTTATATAAGGAAATTCATCTTATTTCTCTGATCCTCAATTACTTCTTCTGTTGGAAGAAGACAAATCCTAAACCAGAGGTTGTTGTAGATTACACAAAATAACATGCACAACCCATGAAATCAAGCAACTATAAATAGTCTATATTCTGTAAATATTAAAAGGTAAGGTTAAAATGTTTTAAAAGATGAAATAAGACCATTGTGTCCTACAGTGACCTCTGATCTTGGCGTCAATGATATTTCAGCATAAGTAAAATTATACAAGTGTCAGTTTCATTTATGTTGGGCAGTTGAAGTTGGATACAGTTTATTAGTCCAAGATGGATAGGCCTGCATTTTATTCTACCTTTCCTATCCATATATGATAAAGATCTCTGTTGATATACCTTGTCATTTCTTGACTTCCTGTGAATGGAATGTGGGCTTTGGAGATAGTCAAACCGGGACTTGAGTTATGGATCCCTAACTCCTTCATTCATTCACTCATTCATAAACTTAACTAAATGTACATATTGCTTTCCGTAGCTGTGAAGCTGAGAGATCCTGCCCAAGCTGAAGACATTGAATCTCATTGCCCTTTCAGCCCTTTGACTCTCCCCCAAGGCCCTCAATAAAATGATTTGGTTCCCCTCTTCAAAAAAAAATAAGTAAAACTATATATTATGTTCCAGATTCTCTGACAAGGCACCAGAGATAAAGACATGGCCCATGGCCTCCATGATCTTACAATTTAATGTAAAGAAAAAATAAATATAATAAGGTGTTAAAATGAAGTTTCCAGTTTAAGCAGCCCGAGAAACAATAAATATTAAATGTCGAAGCAGATGTGAAACAGAAGCTCCCAGAAGATGATTCATCTAGAATAAGTTTCATGATTCTTGAAGCCCCCGTAACCACTTGGAGAATATAAAGTAGTCAGAGAATGAAGGAGAAATGAGGTGTTTGCGATCATATGTCTTTGTAGAAAAACGGGAAGAGATACTATGAGCTAAAAGAGAGGGGACTTCCAAGGGACCACATGAATGTCAGTTAATACTTCTATTCACGGTTAACATGTTAAGGTGATTGAAGCAACACAAACACATGTGGCAACTCCATAACATGACATGAGCAACTTCTTTCTTGAGTTGGCTAATTTCCAAATACTGGAAGAATATGTCCTTTCCTTTCGTATTGCTATTCACAGCTTAACAGTTATAGACATGGCACACTTTAAAGTCTTAACTGCGATGTAAACATTTTCTCCACCACATTCTTAAAATAAAGTAGAAAATCAGTGAAACAATAGATTGAGCTCTTATTTGTGGTATTTAGCAATGTCTGAGGTTAATTTCGAGCTATCAGCAGTTGTCACTGAAAACAGTTAGGAAAAGGTGTCCAACATGCCGTTATTTTGTATCTCTACCATATAGAGACGATCAATGTAAATAACCTCAAGGGCATAGATAATAATGTGTATTGAAATAATTAGGAAATGATGATTTGTGAGTATTGATTAGATTGGTTTTTAATACGACTTAATTGTAAATACATATAATTTAATTTTTAATAATAGCTGTTTAACAGCCAGCCATGAAATTCCTGAAAATTGAACAATAGTCTCTCACGAGCCAGTATAAGCCACCACTTACACACCATTGACTTAAAGTACATTGAAAACATAGCCTTTACCGTCCTAGCTGTCACTCTCAAATTACTAAAACATGGATTTTCCTTTCTATGAAATTAGTAGTGACCTTTGAGCAAGTAATCTCCTCTTCCTTTAATGTAGAGAGATATCTTCCAGTCCTGATCTTACCTGATTATCTGTAGGAAATGACACCATTAGTTTCCTCCTTGAAACTGGTTCGTCACTAGCTTTTCCAGTCTCTTCTCTTCATCCTACCTCTGACTTTTCATTAACTTTACCTCACATGTTCTCCGTTTTCCACCGAGTCCTTCAGCATCGGTGTTCCTGAGAATTCTCGGTGCTCGCATCGTCTCACGTTTCATCCTGCCTCTGGAAGCCTCTTCTACTCGGCTATCGCTTACACGCAGTCCACAGTGAATCCACATCTCCAAACCAAGATCCTCTCCTAGGCTCCTAACATCTGGACCCACATTTGCAATTGCTCCATGTTGTATTTTTTACCCTGGTGTCCCACATAAATTTCAAATTCAAAATGGCCATAGCGGATGTTTCTTTCTTTTGAATTTTACTTCTCCCTTTCAACTCAATAATTTACAGGTAGCGCCATTAACCCTTTATCTAACTAAAACCCCAAATGTCATTCTTCGTTCCTCCTTCCCTCACGTATTCCTCACAGAAGACTCCATCCAGTGCCTGTCGAGTCTGACCCTAATATTTCTATCAACTATTGCTTCTCTCTATACTCAATGTCACTGATTAAACTGAGACCTAATCACCCCTTGTTGTCGTAATATCCTTCTAATTCTCTAACTCTAAGTCATCGTACACATGATGCCTCTGTGTTCTTTCCAAATTACAAATCCTTTTAATGGCTTCCAACTGCCTTAGATTAGTGGTTCTCGACAACGGTTGCACAACAGAATCATCTGTGAAGGCTTTTGTAAACGACTTAATAAATGTTTAATTTACATATAATAAAGCACACCTGTTTTAAGTATATGGCTCAGTAAGTTTTTGACAAATGTGTATACCTGTGTTAACTACCACCACAACCAAGATATGAAATATTTCCCTCACATCCAAAAGATCCTATATATCCTTTTCCAGGCAAACGCCACAAGTTTTTCCTTCTCCAAAAAGACATCCCCAAGCAACCAGCAGCTTCTTGTTAGCAAAGATTAGTTTTGCCTGTCCTGGAATTTCATGTAAATTGAATCAGACAATATTTACTCTTTTGTATGTGGCTTCTTTTATTTAGCAAAATATAGCAAATATAGAATTTAGCAAAATATTATCCATTCATTTGTTGATGGATTGTTTTCAGTTTGGGGCTATTCTGAATAAAGTTTCTATGAACATTTAGTACAAATACTAAACATATATTTTTATTCCTCTTGGGTCGGTATTTAGGAATGGAAGAGCTGGACATTATGGTAACTGAATATTTAACTTTAGAAGAAACTGTCTATTTTCCAAAGTGACTGTACTATTCCCACCAGCACTGTATGAGAGCTCCAGGCAGAAAGCCACAGCGCACACAGCTCGTCTTGCTTGTTTCTCTTCTCTGGGACATCACAGACCTGCACTGCCTATTATTCAATGTCTGAAAATGGTTGCTTCATATGTTTTGTCTAGTTTATTAATTGTTGAGAATGAGATGGCAAGTCCAGTACCAGGTACACTGTCATCACCAGAAGCAAAGTCCACTTGGGAAGCGTCTTAAAAAATATGATGCTTGAGTTCCGCCCTATAATAATTAAATCTGAGTTCCTGGATGAGGGGTGTGGAGAGGTGTTTCTAATGTGCAACAGTGTTTGAGAATCACTGGCCCATAGGGTAATGTTTAATCTCTTCACTCAGGAATGATCCTTTAGAATGTCTAAGCCTACATCTTCAATCTATATCCCCCCATAAGCTTCAACCATGTAGTTGAAGAAAAAGCTATGCCTTTTCCTGTGGTTCATTTTTGCCCAAAGTCTACTGGAAGTACTTATCCTTAAGATTCAGCTGAAATGTCACTGGCTCTATGGGGCATAAAGAACAGTCAGGGATTTCTAGGGTAGAATGTTGTATTTAAAAGAAGATTGGGTCTATTGCCATACCATCCTGAATGCACCTGATCTTGGCTGATCTCTGAAGCTAAACAGGGTCAGCCCCGTTAGTACTTGGATGGGAGACCACCTGGGAATACCAGGTGCTGTAGGCTCTAAAAATAATAAATAAATAAACAAATAAAAAGAAGATTGGGACAACAAATGCAAGGTTTAGTATCTATTCCCACCATTTACAACAGGGTGAAATTTAGTTACCTGGTTTCCTCGGGTATAGCACGGTAATAACAATACCCAGCATAGGGATAGATAGTATTACACACGGAATGCACCTAGTGTGGTGCACATAGCAAGTACCAACAGAATACACCTATTCACACCCCGCATTCCACTCATAACAATTCCAGCAAAGCTCTCTCCTGCAAATTGCATTTTATTATCTGTTTACATCTCTCTTTTCTCCATTAGATGGTGAGTTTTATGTTGAGCAGGACTATTTTTTTTCCTCAACCTTTGCATCCATGGGGCATAAAAGTGCCTTGGATAAGACAGGAGTTTGAATATAGTTTAGAATGGGGAGGGTTTAGTAGTCTCTAATTCTCATTGCAAAGAGCATTTACAGTGTTCTTCATTCTCAACACTGATTCATGCTTTGGCGGCGACGTATCACCCAGTCCTTGGGAAGAGGAGAATTTGACCAAGACTGAAACAAAGTAAGGTTACAATTTTGATCAGATAAACATGCAGAAGACATTTCCATTACCGAGTTAAAAGAACTTGCAAGTCTCTGCTGCCCCCTAGGGCGGCCTATGGCACCTTCGGGCGTGCAGCAGAAGCTCACGCAGAGGATTCTCTGCAGAGAAATTCTGAGCCAATTTCCTTTAAGGAAAAATGGGACAGGATAGGTGGGCTGATGCTGGAAGAAGGGGGTACCGCCCACGCGCGGTTGCCAGGCAACCGGCTCCGGAAGTCGCGGGAGGCGCGTCGGCAGCGGCGCCAGTGAGCGCCCGGGGTGAAAGATGGCGGAAGGCGGCGGCGCCGCCGATCCGGGCGAGCAGGACAGGAGGTCTTCGGGGCCGAGGCCCCCGAGCGCGCGGGACTTGCAGGTGCGGCGGGCGGCCGAGGGCGGGGACGCGGCGGCGGGTGCGGGAATGGCCCACCCTGGGCTCGGCAGAGCCTTCCCCAGACCCGACCTGGGGGCAGAAATGGGATTCCCGCGCCGCCAGGCTCCCCAGGGCGGCGCAGCGTGCGGTGGTGTTGGTAGGAACAACTGCCCGTTTCCCCTCCGCCCCATATTTAATTTAAGAAGCATCTGTTCATTTAGAATGGCATTTTGTGGGGTCATTTGAATGGTTCACCGATTGATGCTTCCTTCAGACTTGGCTGCGGAAGAGGGCTTTACTGTAGCAGTGGGAAATCAGCGATCACTTAAAAAGTGGTAACAGGTGTGCTTGTTTGATCTTGTCTTCGATGCTGTTGCTGTCATGATTTCTTATATATATAAATGATTCCTTTTTATAAGGTAGCTTTTCCCTTTTAAAGAGGAGAACTAAAATAGTCCATCCTTCGGCTGCACAGCCTAGTCGTAAAAGCTAGTCTCTATAAAGCATTGCACATAAGAAACAGGGAAGTAAAACTTTATGTTATAGGCACCGACATTGGGTAGCTAGCTACACAGGAGTGCGCTAAATTTTGCTTTATCAGATTCTTAAGATTACTTTACTCATTTTAGGCTTTTTTTTTCTGTCTCCTAATGTCATTGATAAAATTCAACAAGTAAACATCTGTATGGAGCTATAGTTGAAAATAAATAATGCTGAGTCCACAAGCCTTGGTGGAAAAATTTTGCTTATAGTCACACCTTCATCCTACTTTTCTGAGCATATGTAATGACCACCTGCCACTTGTCGTACTGCCCAGCTTTGGGGACTACAGAGATAAACATCAAATCCACAGTTGGTACTGGACACTGTTGAATGGGATAGAAGTGTAAAACGCATTTCTACCTTTTGAGGATGCGCTCAATATAGAATAATTTCAATGCCCATAGGTCAATTCATTAGTACTAAAGAGAATCGAGGACTAGGAAGCTATCATCTACCTCATCTTTTCTGTCGCAGACCACCATCACTAACGGGCAACATAGGATGTTAGGAAAAAATAGGAGTTTCTGGTCAGGCCAACTTCGATTTGCATCTTGGCCCTGCCACATAGTCGTTGTGTGAATGTAAGAAAAGTGTCTTAACGTCTCTCATCCTCAGCGTCCTTATAAACTAAGGATGATGTACTTAGCAGTGTCAAGGATGAAATAACAACGTCTGTAAAGCACCTATCACAACTCCCATATTATCTTGGCCCAGCACTTGCTAGGTAAATATTTGGTTCCTTTTCCCTTAAAGGAGAAAAATACTGTAACTTTCCCTGGTTAATCCATTCTAATGCCATTAAGGTTAAAACTAACTTAATATCCTTTCTCTAACTTAAATCCATTTCTTTTTACATGGACAGTGAGAACAGCTTGGCTAATGATCACCTGATGCTTGGCAAATGTACCAACAATCCAGTGGATTAATATATGATTAATAATTAGAGATATTATGGTAGATGTCACTAATTGTGAGAATGCCTTTGTTTCCACTTAGAAGATAGAGATATTTTTATTTTATCTACTTTCTGGTAGGTAGGTTGGTAGGTAAGTAACTGATTTTTTTATGAATGTGAGTTGGTATATCAAATACACTAAATATTGATAATCTTTCCTTTAGAATTTAATAAGAATGTGAAGAACTTGCAAAGAAACCTGAAACAAGTGATGACGTATGAAGAAATAGAGTATGTATGAAAGGCTAAAGAATCGAATAATGTTCTTCTTCCTGACTGGTTTCTTGGATATTATTTTGGATTATTTTGTTGTCGTTTAATCTAGCCAAGCTTATTTTAAGAGTTACCCAGTTAGTGCAGTTTTCAGTAGGTACTCGTTACTTTCCTGACAGCTTGCTGAGTATCATGATATT